AACAATCAGCACCCTTCCGGCGTTTCGCGAGCCCATTCCCAACTCGACAGTATCTTCTGGCAACTCGACGCACACACGCACTCGTGAGAACAAACATCTCGAGGCACTGGAGGCGGTCTGCATAATCTGGTTCACTCTCGAGTACATCCTGCGCTTCGTGGCCGCGCCGAGCAAGTGGAAGTTCACCAAGAGCCCGATGAACATCATTGACCTGATCGCTGTACTGCCCTACTACCTGTCGATCCCACTCGAGACGTGGACCCATCACGACATCGACTCTCTCGGTTCTGTGCGTAAGATGGTCCAAGTCTTCCGCATTCTGCGGGTTCTTAGGGTCCTCAAACTAGCTCGACATTCCATTGGTCTTCAGTCGCTCGGATACACCCTGCGACGCTCCTACAAAGAGTTGGGACTGCTCATGATGTTTGTCGCCCTCGGCGTCTTGTTATTCTCCAGCCTGGCCTATTTCGCCGAGAAAGACGACAATGCTCGCGAGTTTAGCAGCATTCCGGCAACCTTCTGGTGGGCCATCATCACCATGACAACCGTGGGCTATGGCGACATGACACCGAAAACACCGTTGGGCCAGATAATCGGATCGGGATGCTGCATTTGTGGAGTGCTCGTGGTGGCATTGCCGATTCCCATTATCGTGAACAATTTCGCTGAGTTCTACAAAGACCAAATGCGACGCGAGAAAGCAATCAAACAGAAAGAAGCTTGGGCAAAGGCAAAAGAATTGGGCAGTTTGGTCTCGGTGTCGGTGTCGGTGTCGGACGGCGTTAGTCTGAAGGTGAACTTGAAAGACAGTTGTATGCATAAAAGTGAATTGTCTTCGAAGGAAGACACCTCGTTCGGGGTCTTCTGCCCGAGAAGTGGTAGCACTTTTCAGTGTCAGACTGTGGGTTGGATACAATATTTCCACACGTTTGCGGGCAGTTTAGTCGGCATCATTTTGTCAGTCAGTTTCGTCGTTCTTAGCACCAAACAACAACTCGTCAAAGGGACAAGTGAAATCTATCCTTTGACCAACTGTGTGAAAATGATTTTTCCATCCCTCCTCCTCAAAGTTGTGATCAAGAGAGAGTAGAGAGTAGAGGGTAAGCCGAAAGTTGGTTTACGAATTGACTTCGTTTGACCCTGACGCGTTGTGGCATGTTGTTGAGACTGGCAAAACTTAGTGAAGATGCCAAAGGCAGAGTCTATCTACTGACTGGGAAATCTAATTCTGCAAGTTAGGTTTATGATTTATGTAGTGACTGAACTTTCCTATTTTATTGTATTTGGCACCAGCAATTGATGGTTAGTTAATCTAATTTGCACTACAAGTGAGCTTTTTTTTATAAAATGACCATCTCGATCTCCTCTGCACTCAAACTTAACTTGGTAACAAAGTGGCAGTCTTCAGAAATATGATAATCAATTTATTGTGTATAAGTAGTTATCTAGTTATGATATTATTCACTCTATTTCATTCAATTTCATAATTATTAATGACAAACTTTGGCCTTTTTAAGTGAGATTAGGGATTGCATAGCAGTTTTCAACACAATTAATGGACTCAAATTTTTGTTAATCTCGAAAGACAAGCATCAATATGTTTACAATTAGCATCGTTTTTCATGCATTTTATTTGTGTATTTTTCGTCTTCAATCTAAAAGTTTGAAGCTGGTTCTTTTAGGTTACTCTCCATTTAAGTTGGAGATCAGGCCAAATTTATCCCAAGTTAAATCGCTTAATTTCTTCACCATTCAGTCTCATAATTGTCCCATAGCGAAGAATGGGTATTAATGATTAATCCTTATGTTGAGCAATTATGATGGTTTTTGAAGATTTACGGCAATAAAACCAATCTTCGCCAGTCCTCACTCCTCCGTGAGGCTTAGCTTAAATGGGAAATGCCATTTTTTCCAAAAGCCTAAAGATTATTGTTTACATTTTAACTGGGGAGTTAACAGGCTAAATGAAATGGATATTGAGAATGTTATGCATTATCCCCATCGCAATATATCTTGTTTGATCAGCTGATCACAAATTATCTAACCATCTTTACAACCCATAAAAAAAGAGAAAATTTCTGTTTCAAAGTTGTGGTTAATTTCTCCTTAATCCACTCATAGAATTGGCAAAGGGCATGGGGTCTAGTAAAGCTACCTTTTGTTTTAAATCAACTATTGGATTACATTTGCTACAATAATCTTAATTCAAACCACTAAATGTGTATCTGTATGTATTGTAGCATTAATTGCTATCCTCAATATTCCCTACGTTCCACATATTTCGTTAAAAACTTGCCTATAGCTTTAGGCCATTTGCATCTTACAGAAATGTGAGGCTCCGAGTGGCGCTCTGTAAGAAGTGAAAAATCATATACTGTATTTAGAGCATATTCCCCCAAGTCACTTGTTCACAGTTAAAATATGTGCCTAAATGGTTTGTTGTTTTTGAATTATTTGCTAAAGTCCAAAGTACAAATTTTATCAAAAATTAAGCATTTTCACCTCTTCACCACACTACTAGCTCACCAGCAAGTACAAGTATACTTTAGTTAAAAAGTGAGTAAGAGAAGTAATTATGTGAAATGTAAAAATATTAATACAATAATCCATCTAAGCGGCCAGGAGATACCAAGACTACTGCACGCAGCGGTGAATTTTAATTTAGTTTTATCAGTAAATAACATAAAAGCAAAAAACTTGCGAACTCAGTAAGATTCGCACTTTGAATTAGACTAGTAAATATCTTCAACTTAGGCAGTTGGATAGTCATAAGTGATTAGGTGATAAGAGTTGTATTTAATTGTAATGAGTTAGTTGGTTATTATTTAAAAATTATATTTCTAATTAAGGTAATACACTAAGAGTCATTGGTAAAATTAAAAAATTTTTTGGTTTTTATATGTCTATAGTTTTGTTTGATGCTGATACTTAATTGAGAGTATTTTAAAATTCCATGTATATGTTTTGGGCAAAAGAGTTAAAATAAAAGCCCTGGCACTAACAGAATATAACTACGATCTACTTTTTAATTTAGCTCCGTATTGATCAAACTTTTTTTAATTTAGCAGTAATATTGTATTGTTTTATATATATAATATATAGTGTATAGTTTTTGTTCTTGAGTTTGCATTGGTCTGGTGCTACTACTAACATTACTATTTATTGTTACTTTTATTTATTTATTTATTTAAATTCGGGAGAATATGAGCAACTACTGAAGTCACAATTATCCCAAGTACTAATTACACTTTGAGGCTAACAGTAAGGATTAATATAAGTTCTTCAGGCAGGAAAGAAGGACGACCTGGTTTGTCTGTAAAGGAGGAGATGTCATAGCAAGAATGCCATGGCCGGAAAAGTCACTAATTCTCGTAATCGCTATTGGCAAGTGGAAAGTATCATTTCCTTTTTCTATTTTCCCATGCTTGAAGGACATAATCCAACCGTAGTAATGCCAAAGCTGGAGTATAGCTGTTGGATTATGCTAAAAAGACAAATCAGCCCATTTAGACAAGCCATTCTAATAACACATTACAAGTTCGTCGGAATGTCTTTTTTCTTCAGGCACAATGTTGCATGGCAAAACGGCACATTGGCCATGCAGGCAAAGTAACATTCGCAAATGGATGCAATCATCTTTACCAAAGACAACTCATTCAATCTGATTTATTTTCTAATTGGCTTATTGCCAATTTAGCCATACATTTTAGGTTAACAAGGTTTTGGTCATTAATTAGATGTCATATTATTTCACTATATGACTATGCATTAATACTACATTTTGCGTTTTCATGCCGACAATCAATTGCCATCAGGACAGTAATATGCTTTATTCAGAGGCTATAAATCGGGCAGATATCGTTTCATAAACGTCTAGTTTCAACTTAAAATAAGGAATTTTCTGTGATGCCTGAATCATGCTGTAAACATTGTCGAAAGTATTTACTTTTGTAGCGCAATAGGGATTGAAAATTTGAAAATTATGAAGCCTACAAACGCTTAAAAGATACCAAACATTCTACAATAAACAACGACTAGTACAAAAGTTTTCATGACCCAACTATTCTGTGTGGTAAGATTGCTGACAATACAGCGATATCATTAGCCTCCATGAATTTTTAGTGTTTCTTCTAATTACTTGTACATCAAGTCATCGCAGCAGGGTGAAATAAATGTGCATCTTTTCAATCATAAAAGCTGTATGTTTGGCTATATTCGATTGGCCGAGATGTGTAAGGCAAGATGGACATTTATTTTATATTCAATCTTCTGTCCAATCTCAAAATGCCGGTCACTGCCTGCTTTCCGTATTGACTTTGCTGGCATTTAGGCAGATCTTTTCGGTGTGTAGGCCCCACAGAAAAACACCCT